TTGAAATAAAATAATAGTTCAAAACACAAACTTAAACATTTTTTAGAGTTTACACTAACATTCATTCTAAAAATTGATTATAATTTAATGTAGAAAGCAAAATTCTGGATATAGGTGAGATAAATGTGATTGAGTTTGCTCAAGTATTTTATAAAAAGCTACAATAGTGATTTCACGATCGACGTGCGGAATCACAGAGCTGCACAAGCGTGCGAGCCCCGACTCAAGAGGATAAACTCTTTAAGGTTGCGAGAAAGTTGAATGTGGAACAACGGATGGGTTGCGTTTCTCCGTGAAATGATCATGTGAGCATGCAGTCGCGGTGGTTACGTATAGAAGCTTTGCGGCGAAAACCTTGTGCTCTCCTTATTACACGACTGACTATTAGAGAGCAGCATATGCTGATACTATATTTCCTCTACCGAATTAAGCCAAATAGGAAGTTCCCGATCATATGCTTTCACTTAATGATTTGTCACCACCCGAAATTGAACTATGTGGTTATGGACATTCACGTACATCTAGAATATCATTTACATGAGAGTTTCCTCGATCGCGTAGCTCGTAGGTACGGCAGATGCAGAACAACATGACATACTCATCAATTTTGTGTAAGTCAGATTCCTCTAAATAACAATTAGACGGATGAGTAATGGTATCACTAATAATTGAACAATATTTAACTTAATCATTTTAATTTTTAACTTTTTTTTTAGTGGTTAGAGGCCATTACGAAAATATGACTAGGTCAACCGACAATTTCCTTCTATTTTATCATTTTTTTCAAAGGGGTTTTAGATTGATTTGAGCAAGTCCGTCCATTCTTACAAATCCAACGAGTATATATCCAAGATAAAATATGGCGAGTATATGCGAATGATGAAAAAATTGTCGTATATGTCAAATCTTGATTAAATTATATGGGTCATGTTTGTGTATCATTGTCCTCATAAAAGTGAAGAGAAGCCTCCAGCATGTACTTAAATGAATTGTCTCTATCTGAAGGTCGAGAGAGGGAGAGTGTTCAAGTTTGTAGGGTTTGTAACATTTGGACATGTTTTGGTACCCTAATTTCAAAAAAAAAAAAAAAAAAATTGATTGCTGAATTGTCATAATAAAATATAAAGAAAAGGATATTGTGTAAGGTCACAAATGTATATTAAATATAGATTACATAACGTTTTTTTTTTATCTAAAAACTCAGAACAACTTCTCTCTCTCTCTCTCTCTCTCTCTCTCTCTCTCTCTCTCTCTCTCTCTCTCTCGGTTTTAAACTGATTATGATCACATTTAAATATTTTTATTTTTTCATTTCAGTGATAATAAATTTAATTTTGTGATGCTTTAATGTATATTTGGAAGAATAAATCTATGAGCTCGAGTATTCTTCATAATTTTGAATATAAATTAACTAACTGGAGTAAATTGACATCACACCAAAATAGGCATTTAATATTTGATTCAGAACATTATATCTCTCATAGGTCTTTTTGTAGGTAGTACTGAATGAAATTAGGCATTATAGCAAATGAAATTAAGCCGATGTTTGATGGCCACTATTTTGAAAAAATTGAGTGGTTAAAAAATGGAAAAAATTTTATTATATAAATGTGTGATTGAAACGGGGTATGAAAACTAAAGAGTTTTGAGATAATGATTGTCAAACATGAGCTTAATTTAATTTTTCATTAATACCGTCGATTAATGTTCAATCTTCCATGCAGAATGTCAAATCATTGCACGTGATCTAGTCTCCGTAGGAATATGTTTTGCGTCTATATTGAATGCGTGACCCTTAATGTCCCCTATAATTAATCCAATATACTTTTGCCCAGTCGATAGATTGATCGAGATATACATACACACACACATACGTGTGTTTGCCGACATCGAAACCAAATAATTGGAACTTGACAATATTAAAAATATTTGGGAATTATATTTGAAAATAATAATAATTATATTTGTTAGACAATGATAAGATTAATTAAATGGAAAAAAATGAATTTTAAAAATTTCAAAATTCTTAAGAATATGTTTGATCCCCATTTTCTTTTGAGGGTGCATTTTGGAATAGTAGATTGATGAAAAATCTATGGTTAAAAATAAGAAGAAACATTGGATCTGCGTATAATATTATTTTATTAAATAATTCGTGGTTGAAAAGAGGAGAGATAAATGTAGGAAGTGTGTTTATGAGAGAGAGAGAGAGGCGGACAGGACTAGGTCTCCTTTCTTTCTGAGCCCCTATCCTAAAGCATCATTAACACTAGGTGTAGAGGTCGCTAAGGGGAATTCACCTAAGAAATATCACCTATCTCACACGGAAAGATTCCACGGTACATATACAAACCATGTACGAATAACCAGTCTTTTCAATTAATGACAAGATAACCTAACGGTAAAATTAACTACAGTATAACATAACAGAAAAATCACGGTAAATTAGGACTTTTTCATTTGTACCGAAAATGGATGACAATAAATTTGACAACTTCTCACCTGCGACCAGCCCCGCATAAGTATAAAATTCCCGAAAAAAGTGGATCCCTCATTGTGAGTGTCAGTCAACCTGCATGTCAACCATTTTCGATACGAATAGCACGACTCGTAAAACTACTCAGATTACATCACACGTTAATTTTTATCTCCAGACATACTTCGCATGGATTAAACGTGGGATGTGAAATAAATTTATTAAGAGATTATTTGGTATCAATTTAGGCACTTAGATGAATTTTTAATGAGGTCTAATGAGCCGGGCGGGCTCGAGTTGGATTATCTGTGTAGGAATTTATGCTCCCATATACATTTGGGATCGGACAAGAACAAAGGATCTGATGAAAGAAAAAAAAAAGATTTGATCTCATTGGACGGTTGTAAATGTCCACTGATTTTGCTTCATCATGTCCTTTATTCATCGACTACCACCATCTCCTGTTCTCCATTACTATTTGATACTTGGGAATAACATCCACTTTTGCATGCAATTTCTAATTCCTTACAACATGGATAGATTCATTCAGCATAATTCCTTTAACTAATTCATCTAAAAGGATAAATTGACTTTGATTTTTAGCACGTCCCTACACGTTATAGGTCATATCGACTCTTTTTATCAAATGTTCGACCCATAAAATGGGGCGACAAGGAGATTTCTATATATACTTTGGACAATGATACAAGTTAGACGAGATTTTTAATGAAATGAACACAAGTTGTTGCTGAACCCTATCTCATTAATCATTCTTCGTCTTTGGTCATCATCCAAATCCCATAAGAGCTGTCCATTATCCTGAAAACGTTAATTTTGTCCATGTTAGACGGAATATAAATATTTATTTTATCAAACTAGGAGTGGGGCAGATTATGACAGTTAAGGATTAAGCCATAATTCGAATACGTTACAACATATGCATAATGTAACGATTAGGGCCACTACCCCAAGTTGTTAATTCATACAGTACGTCTATTTTGGAAGAGTTTGTGTTCATCTTACTTTTTACAGATTTCTATCGAATCCCTCGGGATTTGAGCAATTGACAATTGTCTTATTCTCATACTTAAGTCTAGCGCCTAAAGTTGACTGTACGTATGAGTTGCATGGAGGAAATAAATAATTAATATAATTTGGTTTCATGCAATTCAGCAAGGAGGGATGAGTAAAATATTGACAGTACCATTAAAATTTCATTCTCGAACAAAAAAAATTATTTTTTAATTTATTTTTGTCTATTTCCCGACCACGCGACAAAGGAGGATACACGTTACATTATACTGTATTCACAAAAATATATAAATAAATATGTACCTGTGGGAGAGTATTTGACATATGGGCATGTTGAAATAGAAGTGGGGATGAACAATCCAGAAGAGAATAGCAATTGGGTGCTGTGTCTGTCTCATGAATGACTGGTGACTGTGGGCTGCATTGTTGCACAGTTTGCAGAGTTGATGCCAGGCTATTTAAACTCTGGATAATCACATCATTTAAACAAAAAACAAAAAATGAGAGAAAATTATTGATACAACAATAGTATTCATCAAATGTTTGGTACACTCGACTCCATGCGACAATACTTGTCACGAGCTTTATCTTTTTAATCTTGTCGAATACTATTGAATCGAACCATATCAAACTGCTTCCTCGTGAGTTCGTGTCTGTACCTGATCAGGTCTAACCATGAAAGCATCCAAGTCCACGCCAAAGTCATAGAACATGGGACTCACTGTAGCAAGCTTCATTGAGAGGAACTGAAAAATGGGAAAACGAGAAAACAGCTTAGCATATTTCACTTCATATAAAAAGTAAAAAGTATATAAAAGAAAAAGAAAACATTAACCTCCACTTGATTCTGTAGGGATTGGACATAGTTGATAATTTCATCCAACATGAGGGCCTTTCCAGTTACCTGTTTCTCAATCAAGCCACATGAAGCTGTCAGAATTTAAACCCTTTACCAAATAAAAATTATTTTCTAGTTTAGAGATTAATGAAAATAAGTACTTAAATTCACCTTTTCACAACCGGGAACAAGAGCTTGGAGTGCCTTCATTCTTTCACTTATTTTCTCCCTCCTCACCTGAATCCATTTGAAAAACTAAATTAAAATTACTTATAATATACAATATTTTCACTTATTTTTTCCTTTTTAATACCGTTTTGTATTTTACAATCTACATTATCGAATAAAATAAGAGAACTTTCTACTGAGGAACAGAATACCCTTTCTGCAAGGCTGTGGCTATCAGTTGCCTGACCCCTTCTTGCTCTTACATGAATATATCCTTTTGGATCTTCTTCAGATGCCTTCTTCTCTTCTCCAGGCTGCTCCTTGTCTACAGTATTCTTTTGCTTCTTTCCTTTCACTTCTCTCATACTCTAATTACCAAAAGAATTTTAAAAGAATTTTTTTTTTCAATAATAAAATATAAACTTAGGATTTCATGCACAGTTTTTAACCTTGGATTGAGCAGAGTATGATGAGGACCTCGTTAATTTTCGTTTTATCTTCTTCTTTTCCACCATGGAAGTTACCTTCTGAGATACTTGTTGATCACTACTCTCATATTTATCAGAAACTGAAGAAGACTGATCCATACTGTTCTTGTTTTTTATGCTCATCGAAGAATTAGACTCATTATTGCTGGGAGAAACTTTTGTACTCTGGTCAAGGCATCTATTTTGAAGAACGCCAAGATTGACAGGGACGATATCCTGATGAAATTCAGTGGTATTGGCATTGTTTAACTGTTCACAAATCTTAATGATGGAAGAGTTTGGTTGCAGAACAACTGAGTCAATAAGAAAAGGGTGGTGCTGATTGTTTGATGAAAAGGCTGCCATTTTTTGTGTGCTTTGGAATTCAAAATAAAATGCTTCAAGAAAGTGATGGAAGAGAGATTTAGAAGGTGGGGGTGGGTCTGAGAGAATTCACAAGAGTTTCAGGTATATATAAACATACTGAGGAGAGAGAGAGAATACATACAAATTTTGCTAAAATCTTTTTCTACCCTCATTCTCGTGCATTTGCTTTACATTTGACTGGTCTTTTCACACGCAGATGCACGCAGTGTGTGCATGAATAGTTGAAGGAATGGGGAAGGCTGGGTGGGGCGGGTTGGCGTGGGGGTGTTATTAATCTTCAGACAAGTCTATTTCATTTCTACAGAAGAACAATTACAGTTAACTTTTTTCAGTCCTTCAAATCCGTGAATCAGATGTCCCCTTAGTAAATACGTTTGAAGGGATCTGTTGATCATTCAAGGACACTGCAGCTTATTTTGACTCGCAAAAAGTAAAGAGTTGAAATTTTAGGCCATGATGACAAAGAATTCCACGAAAAATGTTACGTATGAGTAAGCTCTGTTTGGCCCCCATTAAATTACATTACATTACATTACATTTTTTTCTCTTCATTACAACCACATATTCATCAAATAAAATAATATTACACATAAATCTAAAATTTTTCATTACTTTTCCGCCACACATTCTTCCATCAATCATTATTTCAAAAATTTTCAACCATAAAAAATGCAAAATAATGGGGGCCAAACAGGGGCTAAAAAGAATTTCACTTTGACCGTTTGATTGCAACGTAAAAATTAAAATCGAATTTCAATAGAAAACAACTTTAAACTTTGTTTTCATGAAAAACGAATTCATATGAGTTTGGTGAGTTTTTATTTTCCAACTAACATAGAATTGTAATTCCTTTCCACCGTTGCCTATCAAATTGACCCTTAGATCAAAACGCTACGTATAGATGTAATATGAATTTTCCAAATAAAAATTCTTGAATAGCAAATAGGACTCCCATTTGAACAATCCATGAAAGAGAGAATTATTGAAATACCAACAAATCTAGTGTTGAATTCACCGACTCAATTGTACCCATTTTTGAGAACATCTGAAAGTAAGCTGCCAATATATTATTTACAATCACACATTTTATTAGATTAATAATTACTTTCCTCTTATCGATTACTCATTTTTATCTATTTATAAATTAAATTATTTATAATGTATAGGATTCATGGATACCATTAACTTGAGACAAATACCATACCAAATTAATTAATATGTGTAAATTTAAAGTAAATTATTTCGTGTTAAGTACTAAATTTTACGAAAGTAAAACCAAAGAGCGTATATATAAATATTTTACTAATTTTTATGTTTTATTTAAATCGCTAATGTACTAAGCTCTGTTTGGTAGAAATTAAAAAATCATATTTTAATTTAAGTCAAAGTCAACAACTAATTTCAATTATACATTTCATCAACTTTAATCAAAATTCAATAAAAACCTGATTTTAATTTCCAGGGCTAACTGTATCCATTTCATGTTCTATGCAATTTATAAAAGTCCAAAATTCATAAATGTACTCGACAAGAAAATTTGATGCATCAGTTGCAACTTCTTACATAGAGTCGTGACCATTTTTGTGAGGTGCAGACTGATCAATATTAATTGGCAGGCTATTGATGGCAATGGAAAATAATAAGTATTTAATTTTTTTTATACTATTGGTTTATAATTCATTTTATCGTCTAAAATGTTGAATTTTCATTAATAAATAACGATAAGAGTACTCTATCTACGAGATTACGCTTTGTAATTAGTTTCTTTCTTAACATGGTAGAAATTTTCAAAATGATTATAAATTATTATTATAACACAATTAAAGGGAAAAAAAATTCATTTTATATGATATTTCTGATAGAAAAAATTAAGTGACTTTGGCATGTATTTTGAGCCGGACCCGTTGGGCTATTTTGGAAGATGAAAGTTGATTTGTATTCTCCGTGAGTACATCGAAATCATATACTCACTTGTCAAAAATGATACTTGGGTGAATGAGAAATTGAAACTCAAAGTATGTCATGTGAAATGAGTTTATATTGGTGGGAAAACTCATGTGAAGAGTTTATATTGGTGGGAAAACT